AGTCCCTTTATTAATCCGGGGTCGCCACAGCGGAATGAACCGCCAACTTATCCAGCATATGTTTTACGCAGCGGATGCTCTTCCAGCTACAACCCATCACTGAGAAACATCTATACACACTCATTCACACTCGTACACTACAGACAATTCAGCCCACCCCATTCACCTGTACCTCATGTCTTTGGACTGTGGGAGAAACCGGAGCACGAACGTAAGGAGAACATGCAAACTCCACACAGAAACGCCAACTGACCCAGCCGAGGCTCAAACCAACGACCTTCTTGCTGAGAGGCGACAGCACTACCTACTGCGCCACAGTGTCGCCCTACAGCCAATTTAGTTTACCAAATTCACAGTCTTTGGACTGTGGAAGTACCCGGAGGAAACCCACGCCAACATGGGGAGAACATACAACCTTCGAATCACCAACCTTCTTGCTTCTTGTGCTACCCACTGCGCCACCGTAATGCCCTATTCCATATTTGTTGTAATGAAATGTTCATGGCATTATGATGCGTTGGATTTACTAAGGTACGTGGTTGCAAACAAAATTATTTGTGGCGAATTTAAATAATCAAACGAAGTTGAACAATACTAGATTAAATTAAGTTGTTTAAATTCAAACCAAATAAACTGCTTGCAACAATTTAGCAAGAATCAGTGTGCATGCGCTCCCTTCTGCCCTCTCACTGACAGGATCTGCTCAGTGTCCTGCTGCTCAGGGTCACGGCCCAGCTTTACCAACACACACTTATCTTCCGTGCATCTGCCGGGGCGCCTGCGCAGTCAGTCTGTCTCCTCAGCCGGCTGAGCTCTCTTTCCTGCAGGGGGAGAGGGACAGATTGGAGTAGGGGGGTTATATGTAGTGGGAAACCAAGGATCCGGACCCTGCCAAGTCGCTGAGCTACATTGGAAAACACGAGCTGCCTCCAGGGTAACGGGCCCACTTCTGAATTTCGACAAACAAAAATAACTCCGGCGACTGGATATACGGCCATTCTTCACTGTTTTTTTTTCTATCTGTCAGCCAGAATTCCCAGAACTGCTTTCTTCTGGAACCTGGAGTGTCTTTGAGGACTTTGCTAATTTGCTTTACTTCATACGAGCGAGTGAGAAACTTAATAATGCTGTTTTTGCCTTGGTTATTTATCATTTCTCCCGACCTTTGAGTGACCAAATGGCGAAGCTCAACCCCGGCCCCCTTTCTGTGACTTATTTCATCATTTGAGCGGCGTATGATTAAATTCTCATGACCTAATGCATTGTAGAATGCCTTGGAACTGAAGTTAATGTTTTTTTTTTGTCTCAGTCTTTTTTTGGTTCTACTCCCACCCTTTCTTCAGCAAAGCAAAGGGAGAAAATGACAACTTCATTAGAAAGGGAGAGAGAAGCGGGAAGGCGAATGATTGTAAGCGGCGTTGATGGAGGGTAACTCAAGAGAAGCTCTACCTGCCAAAAGCACGTCTGCCTAACATTTAACCCAGACGAGAGAATTAAGAGATGATGTATGGCGGAGAGTGTGCTATGTGATGGGCGGAGCGCTGTGAAAGGCTTTATTGGGGTCACTTTTTTATTCACACATTTGCTGCTTGTTCAAACTACTTATTACAGTGGCTTGAGAAAGCCAACATACTGTTATACTACATAAACTTATTATTCTTTTTCTGAGACCACTTTCTATATGCATCTCCTCCTAGAGCGTTCATACTACAACCACCAAACTAACCACACAGCAATGCCTTAGCAACCGCAGAGCAACACCTTAGCAACCACCTAGCAACGCTTTAGCAACCACCTTGCAACACCTTAGCAACCGCCTAGCTACATCTTAGCAACCACCTAGCAATGCCTTAGCAACCACTCAGAACATCCTAGCAACCACCTAGCAATACATTAGCAACTGCCTAGCTACACCTTAGCCACCACCTAGCAATGCCTTAGCAACCACTGAGAACACCTGAGCAACTGCCTGTCAACATCCTAGCAACACCTAAGCAACCACTTAGTAACACATTAGAAACCGCCTTGAAACCACTCAGGACCCCCTAGCAACATCTTAGCAACCACCTAGCAATGCCTTAGCAACCACCTAAAAACAACTTGGCAACCACTTAGAACACCCTAGCAACACCTTAGCAATCACCAAGCAATGCCTTAGCAACCACTCAAAACACCCTAGTAACCGCGTAGCTACACCATAGCAATCTCCTAGCAACACCTTAGCAACCACTCAGAACACCCTAGCAACACCTTAGCAACCGCCTAGCAACACCTAAGCAAATGCATAGCAACACCCTAGCAACAACCTACCAACACCTTAGCACGATATATATATATGCATATATATTTATATATATATTTATATATATATATATATATATATATATATATATATATATATATATATATATATATAGCTAATATTTCTGACTTTTTGACAAAATTGTTTTATTGACTGACTTATACAAAATCTTTAATATTTCTGCCCATTAATGCATTGAAATGTTTTGTCGTAATTAGGTGTTTGCATACAATTTCTATAAACAAAACAGATCAATAAAACTGCGCACTTTATAATAATCTGATTATATGATATATGCCACCGATCAAACTTTTGGAGTGTGATCAACTTGGATTTCACTCTATATGAAGCTCAGGAATGCCACGAACAGGGTAGAAAAGGTCACTTGCTTCATGTTTCACGATGTGAAATACAAGTTGGATAAGGCAGAGGATCAAGCCATGTCAAAAAGAAGACCACTAACCACAGACTGGCCTGCATTTGCCAAAGCCTCTCTGACAAGACACTGTAGACGGAGCCATAAAAGCCGTAGCACATCACTCTGGGCTCATCCATTTTACCCTGTTAACCCTTCTCATTACCACAGTAAAACATCTGCTCTGCTTCACTTTCACCTCAGCAGGTCTTGCTGGAACATCCAAGCACGTCTAAACTTTAACTAGTCTGCTAAAATATGTTTATGGTGCACCGTATGATCAGACGTCAGGTGATGATGACGGTGCATTGCATGTGATGATGAAAAAAAATTATACGTTTAGTGTTTCTGCATAACGATTGCAACTGAAACTGTGCCCTAATGAATGATTTGTTTCCTTTCTTTTATTAACCCAGTTGTTGGGTCCATATTTGACCCAAATCTAAATAAAAAGTGAAATAGAGCTCAATTAATATGTTTTATAATTCAGTGTAACAATAGAGCACTGGGTTTTAGAAAAGGGCATAATAAAATGTATTATTATTATTATATAATTTACTATAAACTATAATATTATGGCGGTTCATTCCACTGTGGCGACCTTTGATAAATAAGGGACTAAGCCGAGAAGAAAATGAATGAATAAATATAATATTATCTAATAATAAACATATATTTCCCAGTACTGGGTTGTGGCTGGAAAGTGCATCTGCTGTATAAAACATATGTTGGAATAGTTGATGGTTCATTCCGCTGTGGCGACCCCGGATGAATAAAGGGACTAAGCCGAAGAAGAATGAATGAATGAATATATACTTCCCAGTATTGGGTTGTTGCTGAAAGCGCACCCGCTATGTAAAACATATACCAAAATAGTTGGCGGTTCATTCCGCTGTGGCAATGCCTCATAAATAAGGGACTAAGCTAAAAAAAAAAGCTGAATGAATGAATATAATATTATATAACAATTAATATATGTTTCCCAGTACTGGGTTGTGGCTGGAAGAGCATCCGCTGTGTAAAACGTGCTGGAATAGTTGGTGGTTCATCCCGCTGTGGTGACCCCGGATGAATAAAGGGACTAAGCCGAAGAAGAATGAATGAATAGAATAAATATGTATTTCCAAAAAATAGGTTGCAGCTGTAAAAGCATGTGCTGTGTAATACATATGCTGGAATAGTTGGCGGTTCATTCCACTGTGGCAACCCCTCATAAATAAGGGACTAAGCCAAAAAGAAGCTGAATGAATGAATTTAATATTATATAATAATTACTATGAATTTATCAGTAATGGGTTGTGGCTGGAAGGGCATCCGCTGTCTAAAACATATGCTGGAATAGTTGGTGGTTCATTCCGATGTGGCGACCCCGGATGAATAAAGGGACTAAGCTGAAGAAGAATGAATGAATGAATATATATTTCCCCAAAACAGGTTGCAGCTGTAAAAGCATGCGCTGTGCAATACATATGCTGGAATAGTTGGCGGTTCATTCCGCTGTGGCAACCCCTCATATATAAGGGACTAAGCCAAAAAGAAGCTGAATGAATTAATATAATATTATATAATAGTTAAAATATATTTCCCAGTACAAAGTTGTGGCTGTAAAATAAAATGATAAAAATACAAAGATAAAAACAGCAGAATTTTGCGAAATTATAAAAAAAAAATATTGGATTTTATTTTACGTGATGCATTTGTTATTTAATGTTTGAATACTGAAAAGCCATCGGTAGGGGGTGGGGCATTGCTGGATTTGTGCATACCTTGGAATAAAATCCTGCAGGTGCCCCTGCTGGCTACATAATCCATGCTCTCCAGAAATGTACACAGGGGTACATAATCGCGATGAGCCTGTGTTGATTTTTTGTAATTTTGTTTTGCCAAATGTTCTTTTAAATAATAAAGTACGCTCTAAAACAATCTCTTTGGTAAATTTAATTTGACGCAGCCATTTTAACCACTTAACCTTTGTCCTAAAATACTAAAACTGGGGATAGTTCACCCACAAATAAAAAAATAACCTCATCATATACTGTGCTTTTAAACCTTTATGAGTTTCTTTTTTCTGTTGGACACGAGAAGTTATTTTTAAGCTGCACCCGTTGACTTCCATAGTAGAAAAAAAAAACTTATGAAAGTCAGTGGGTGCCTTGCAACCAGCATTCTTCAAAATATCTTCTTCTGTGTACAACAGAGGAAAAATGCAATCAGGTTTCAAACAAGTTAAGGTCGAGTAACTTTAATGAATGCACAATTTCCAATATTTTTGCGTGTGAACTGTCCCTTTAACAGACCTAACATTGTTTACTCTCCGCTTCGCTACGTTCCGTGAATTATTGTAGCCGTTAAACATGGCTTGATCTAATATGGGGAAGCTTTAATAAAAACGTCAGAGCGTTTCGCAATTTATGAGTCATTGCAATGATCTATAACTCTACTCACACCTTGAGACTCCTCGCAAAATCTACTAGAAGGGCTGAAACACAAAGCCCGGTTCTCCCGGAGCTCATTACTCTGCTCGCAGCCTTTGTGGACCGGGGGAGAGGCCCGGGGGAAGCGTACATTCTGTCCAGGCCACTCGGGGTGTGTGCTGTGCGGTTCCAGCAGGTGCCAGGCACGGGGAGAGGCTTCAGTCCTGCGGCGCTGACCCGGGACGCACTCGGCCAGCACTGATGGATTCCTCACCGTCTTCTGGCTCCTCCTCCGGGCACAAGCAGGAGCAGGAGTCTCACATTTATTTACGGTAAAAATAAATTACAGGTGAAGTCAGAATTATTAGCTCTTCTGTAGGCCTATATTTCTCCACCAATTTCTGTTTAAGGGAAAAATAGATTTATAAAACACGTTTCTAAACATAAAAGTTTTAATGACTCATTTCTAATAATTGATTTCTTTTCACTTGGATTCTCTTGTTTACTCAGACTTGACATTAAATAGTTTAGCTAATAGCCTACTTTGGTTCAAATTGCTGTAGAAGGAAGAGGTCTAAGTCCATTATTAAGTTACACTGTATAATGTAAACCAACCTTTCTGCGATATTCCAGTTTTTGCAAATAAATTTAATTCACTTTTTGGATGGAAAGACAGCTACAGTTATTTTTCCCTTCATGAAGATCTTTTACAGTAAAGTTCTGCCAGCCTATTGAAATGGGGTGGTTCTTTTTTCTCAAAAAGTGGACCTTTTTTGCAGTTATTTGCCTTATTTTATTAATTTATGAGGTTTAAATACTGCATTTTAGTAAGCAAATTTTTTTTTTTGCTGGATTAGTTTGGCGGATGGTAATTATAACCCAACCCGGGTTCATTGTGGAAACGTAGTCCCGCGGACGATTCTGGGGACCGCGGAATACGTCCCGGTGGGTACGTACGGCTGCAGTTTTTAAGAATCCGCGAGAGGCCGCTGTTGTGTGCTTTGTCGCACCTCAGACGCCTCTCGCGAGTGCAGTTCGCGGCCGCGCTGTTTTCGCGTGAACCCACCAGAGGCCACTGTCCGACTGACCGGATGATTGACTGCGCGACCGGCCAATCGGCCGACCCGCCCTCCTCCTTCCCTGAACCCAACCAATTTTACCGATCAACCCACCCGCCCGCTCGCTTCCCTAAACCCGAGCAACAGTTTACAAAAGCCGTCCAAAAAAAGAAAAGCCCTGAATTTTTCTGGATTTCACCGCGTTCTCACCCTGTTACGAAACTCGTTCACTTAATTTTTGGAATTCTGTTTTTGTCTTACCTGATTGCTGGAACCGCTCTTCCCCGGACTCGAAACCGGTCGCCGTGGTCGACCCCTCTCCGCATCTCGAGCCTGCTGATGTACACGCTGAGCTGAGTGGACAAACGGGTTGCAGTGGGGAAGCCCTCCACAAGGAGGTAAGGCAAGCGCGAAAGGGAACAGCGTCACAACGCCCCGCAGCGTTCGCTTAAAAAAATAAATGCAGCCGTACGTATCCCCCGGGACGTATTCCGCTGTCTCCAGAATGAGCTTGGATTGCAACAACCACTTGTTTTGATGTAGGCCTTCCAAAAACATTTCCTAAAGATTTAGAATAAAGAAATATGCCATACTTATTTTAAATACAAATATATTACTTCATATATCAATAGCAAAATTAGGAATCTGTTAAAGTTTTAAATTAAATACTAGCCTATTGTCATTTATTAGGCTAATAACAAAATGGCCAGCACATTCTACCTTCCTCAGTCAGAATTTGGGATGCCAAATTAGTCACTTCAAAATGGAAAGTCACGCCGAAGCAACAAGCAACACACAAATTTGTTTGGTCTAAAAGCCTTGTTCAATAGATTATTGTTCTTTTTTTTTTTACAATTAATTTTGGGATAGCAGTCAAAATAGGACAAATGAGCTCATGCATGGGACAAATTCTGTACCTTTGTCAGTGAGGGGTGGGTTTTTCAAACAACCAGGATCCCTCCTGGCTACAGGCCTGAATAGCCTAAATAGGATTTAATATAATATTATAATAATAATCTCATTCATTCATTTTTTTTTTGGCTTAGTCCCTAATTAGGGGTCGCCACAGCAGAATGAACCGCCAACTTTACCAGAATATGTTTTAGACAGCGGATGCCCTTCCAGCTACAACTTAACACTGGGAAACACCCATACACACCCCACACACATACACTAAGGCCGGAGGAAACCCACACCATCACAGGGAGAACATGCAAACTCCACACAGAAATGCCAACTCACCCAGCAGGGACTCGAACCAGCGACCTTCTTACTGTAAGGCGATCGTGCTACACACTGCACTCTTCATCAGAGCCGTGTGGCTCGAAACGTTACATGCTTTGTGTCAGCTTTTTAAATTTAATAAATTTGTATTTTTGGAGCTTTGGTGTTGCCGCCTTTGATGAATATTTAATTTGCACCTTTTGCGTTTTTTGGATGAGCACCCAGTTACGAGGGATGTGTGTGCTTTTCTACAGTTTTGTCATAACAATAGTACAAGTTATATTTATGTTATGCACAAACAAATATTCTTCATTTTAATGGCTTTTCTGCACTCCGTCAAATAGAATTATCCGAGTGACAACAGGTGATTCTAAGCTCTTCGAGTCCACCAAACAGCTTAGAATGACCAAGAGGCGACACTCTAGTGTAATTTGGGAAACAGCCACTAGAGAGCGCGGCAGTCATTTTGGAATGAAAACTCCAATAGAACAAGAGCATATTGTAAATCTGTAAAATAAACTATTAAAAGTGCTGATGACTGTGATAATAAGTGTTGTATTGTCGTCTTTTCGGTTGTATCTCAGCTTTAGTGCGCTTTTTAAATAAAAAAAATAAAAAACAAAGCAGCTGCTTGCCATCGCGCCAGTTATGAGATCCAATGGACGGCCGATCACTTTCACTCCAAAATGGCGGAATCCAGAGCTGTTGCAATGGAACGTTCTGTTGAGTGTCGCCTCTTGGTCATTCTAAGCTCTTTGACTCCGCTATGGGCCGCTATATTATTTTTTAAAAAGCACCTTGTTTTCGGTTGCTGTTTGAATAGTAAATTCAGCGTTCGAGCGCTTGGTGGGTTTTTTGTGGAGCAGAAGAGCAGCAGACATACACAAACGGAGCAACGCAGAAGCTGCAGAAATCAAAGTTTGATTCACACAAAATCTTTCTGGTAAGCACAAATAAACTCATACTATAAGGCCATTTCACAATACACAACATACTACAAAACCATCTAGAACCCTGCTGAAAAATCCAGCTTAAACCAGACTAAGCTGGTTGGCTGGTTTTAGCTGGTCGACCAGCCTGGTTTTAGAGGGGTTTTGGTCATTTCGAGGTTGGTTTCCAGCCATTTCCAGCCTGGTCTGGTCAGGCTGGAAAATGACCAGCTAAATCCAGCTAAAACCAGCTTGACCAGCCTGGTTTAAGCTGGACATAGCTGGTTTTGGCTGGACTCCCAGCCTGGCTGGGCTGGTCAAGCTGGTTTTAGCTGATCACCTCCCAGCCTGACCAGCTAAGACCAGGCTGGAAAACTAGCCTGGAAATTTCCAAAACCCCTCTTAAACCAGCCTGGTCGACCAGCTAAAACCAGCCAACCAGCCTAGGCTGTTTTAAGCTGTTTTTTCAGTAGGGAAAGCATATGAATAATATAGAATAAATGCTTAAAATATATTTGAGTGTATGACAGATTTGAAGCAGCTACTAAACCGAGGTTTGACGCAGTTGTTTGCACACACACAGAACTGAGGAATGCGCAGGTCTTCTTCCTCTCCATTTGCTGACTCATAATAAACTCCTTCCTCTTGAAGGACTGCTGCTCTCGCGTGGCCTTTTTCCTCACAGTATATTGTCTGCCGTTACAGTAAACGTGGAGTCAATACGCAGACCTTCCCAGTGAACCAACGGCTACTGTTTTCACCTCAGACTTCCCTCATAAATCCTCCATCATGTTTCCTCTCAGCCACCCAAACGTGGCCTCATTCGTGGCCCTTTATTGTTCCATCCAGTGTCCCCATCCTGCCCTGCTTCATTTTTACCCAAAATCAAAATATTCAACAAACAGCTATGAGCTCCTTTTCAACTCAGAAGAGGTTTCTATTAAATGTGAGGTGTTTTTATTTCTCTTCAATTGCTCGATTACAGTATGCGTCCAGTCTAATATCACCGCGTCCCAGGCACACGCCCTTTTTATTCTTGGATGGCAAGTGCCCTTCTAAAATGATCTGAAGTGCCCCCGCTCTTCAGTTCGCGACAACATCCCATTGTAACTTTATTTATTTATTTTATTTACAGCATTCTGTGTTATTTTCATTTACATTTTTTTACTATGTGCTTTATTCGCAAAATCTTTGATGCAATATTCCAGATATGTGAATACTTTCCCTTTATGAAGTTCTTTTTACAGAATTTATAGTTGTCATTTTTTACAGTAAATTTCACAGATTTCTTTTTAACAGTGTGCTTAGTTCGCAATTTTTTTAATGTAATATTCCAGTTTTGCGAATACTTTTAATTGGCAGTTTTGGATGGAAACATATCTTCAAATATTTTTCACTTTATGAAGATCTTTTAAGGTAAAGTTCTGGTAACCACAGCTGCCGTTTTTTACTGTAAATTTCACAGATTTCTTTTTGCAGTGTGCTTTATTTCCTAAAACTCTATGCAATATTCCAGTTTTGCGAATACGTTTAATTCACATTTTGCTTGAAAACATAGCTACTTGTATTTTTCCGTTCATTGAAAAAGCTTTTACAGTGACGCTCTGGCAAGCACAGTTGCTGTTTTATAGCAAAAATGTAAAGTTTTTATTCATTTATTTTATTTAGTTTTATTTTTATTCATGTTTTTTTTTTACAGTGTGCTTTATTCACAAATGTTTTATGCGATATTCAAGTTTTTGGACATACTTTTAATTTGCGTTTTTAAATGGAAACATAGTGACACAAGTATTTATACCTATATGAAGATCTTTTACGGTAAATTTTTGGCAACTACAGCTGCCGTTTCCTACCATTTATTTTACAGATTAATTCGCAAACCAACCTTTATGATTTATTATAGTTTTGCGAATAAGTTTAATTCACATTTTTGGATGGAAAGATAGCTACAATCATTTTTGCCTTCACGAAGATCTTTTACGGTAAACTTTTGGCAACCACAGCTGCTGTTTTTTTTTTTTCATAAAATTTTACGAATTTCTTTTTTACAATGTGCTTTATTCGCAAACCTTTTATGCAATATTCCCGTTGTGTGAATACTTTCCCTTTATGAAGATCTTTTTACAGTAAACACAGCTGCCATTTTTTTACAGTAAATTTTACGCATTTATTTTATACAAAGTGCTTTATTAGCAAATCTTTTACATGACATTCCAACACAATCTCACAACAATTTGTAACTTTTTGATTTAGTGGCTAATTCGTATGAATTCCTACGATCTAATTCGTACAATTTAGTACGATTTGCTCATCGCCCAATGACGGTTGAGTTAGGAGAGGGGTTAGGTGCCACGCCTCCTTTTTAAAATCATACAAATTTGTATGACTGAACTCTTACGAATTAGCCACTAAACTGGCAAAACGTAAAATACCTGTTTTCTCGTGAGATCATGCTGGATATTCCAGTTTTGCACATATATTCAATTCGCATTTTTGGATGAAAACATAGCTACAATTATTTTTCCCTTCATGAAGATATTTTACTGTAAAGTTCTAGCAACTACAGCTGCCATTTTTTTACAGTATTTTTTACGAGTTTCTTTTTTACAATGTGCTTTATTCGCAAATATTTTGTGCAATATCCCAGTTATGTGAATACTTTCCCTTTGTGATGATCTTTTTACAGTAACCACAGCTGCCGTTTTTTACTGTAAATTTTACGGATTTCTTTTATACAATAAGCTTTATTTGCAAATCTTTTGCGTGATATTCCAGTTTTGCACATACGTTTAATTCACATTTTTGGAAGGAAACATAGCTACAAGTATTTTTCCCTTTATGAAGATCTTTTACAGTAAAGTTCTGGTAACCACAGCTACTGTTTTTTTACCGTAAATTCCACAGATTTTTTTTACGTGCTCTTTTTTCGCTAATCTTTTATGCAATATTCCAGTTTGCATTCTGTATGGAAACATAGCTACAAGTTTTTCCCTTTATGAAGATCTTCTACAGTAACCCTTGCCGTCATTTTTTTACAGTGTATTTTCACTTAATGAAAATCTGAGCACATGTATTATTACCTGAGCTAGTCCAGTGTTTGGTCTTGCGCTGAAGTGGGTTGCTGGCGTAAATCTCTAAGTTTTGAGGGCCAGCTCTGACCCGTACGTTTGGCCCCTGTGAGCCTTTGTTTGGCAGACGCCTCAGCTTCTCCTTTCATCCTCCCTTCAGATAAATCCCCTGATGGAGCTCCTGGACTCCACTGTCATACATCAGCTGTGTTTGATGTGGGGCTGCTGGTGTCCACGGGTGGGCTGGAGATGGACTTCCTCACCGCTAGCCATCATCAATCCTGCCGTCGGACCGCAGATCTGCACCTCTGCCCTCTTGACCACTGTGACGTACAGCCATCCGTCACGCCAGTCTGGCTCCTGAAAGCCTATACATCTTCCCAACTGGTGCTTTTACATATAGTACGCCAAAGATTAAACTGACTGTAATCGTGTGGCTTCGTTTTTTCATTTTTCAGGTTAAAGTGATGTTTATAGCCTGAACTAGGGTAATTAAGTCATTGTATAACGATTTGTTCTGTAATATGCTAATAATATTGACCTTAACATTTAAAAAACGATTTTATTTTAGCCTAAATAAAACAAATAAGGCTTTTTACCAGAAGAAAAAATATTAAAGGAAATACTGTGGAAAAAATCCTGAATCTGTTTAACATCATTTGGGAAATATTTAAAAAAAGAACTGGCTTCCACTGTATATACTGAACATTTATATGGTAATTTTACATACAGTATGTATATAATTAAACTGACTGTAATTTTGTGGCTTCATTAACATAATTTTTATGGTTATTTAGCGTTAGGGTTTAGGGTTATTTAGTGTATGGTTTAGGGTTATTTAGTGTATGGTTTAGGGTTATTTAGTGTCAGGGTTTAAGGTTTAGAGTCTACTGTTATTTAATGTTAGGGCTTAGAGTCTTATTTAGGGTTTAGATAGGTAATTTCGATTAACTAAAATTCCTGTAGTGTATGAGTGTGTGAATAAGTGTGTATGGGTGTTTCCCAGTATTGAGTTGCAGCTTAAAGGGCATCTGCTGCATAAAACATATGCTAGAATAGTTGGTGGTTCGTTCCGCTGTGGCAACCACTAATACATAAAGGGACTAAGCCGAGAGAAAATGAATGAATGAGTCACATTTTCTCCCTGAGCTCAGCTGATAAGACAGACTGATAATAAACCGCTTTCACTTTCAGTTTCCTTCACCTTTATAATCAGAAAGCCATCGACAAAAAACAGCTGCTCTGCCTCGTCTTTCTCATCCAATAAGCGTGAAGCACCAAGATCACTCACAATGAGGTGCCAAAATCAGTGGCGGAGGAGGAGGAAACCCCACACAAACAGCGGAAGAGCCGCACTTCAGCCGAGGGACAGCGAGTCTGAGAGTCCGCTGATGGAGCGCTGATTAACCGGCCCACAGACACCGCATTGTGCTCCTAAAAACCCGCCGTGAAAACCGCTGTTACTCTGCTGCATTATGAGGCTGAGGAAGTAATAAAACACGACCAATTGAAGATCTGTCAAATTAAGAGTGGAAAGTGAGAGTGGGTCTTGTTTAATATGTTGTGTGCAACCTAATAATAATCTTGCCAACTTTAATTGTCCTCTAAAAAACAGGATTTAGAAAGAGATCAAGTATAATGTGTAATATATGGTCACACTAGACAATAAGGTTTCATTAGTTAAAGTATTTACTAACATGAACTAATCATTTACAAATCATATTCATTTTCTTTCTGTCTTGGTCCCTTTACTAGGGGTTGCCACAGTGGAATGAACCACCAACTTATCCAGCATATGTTTGATGCATGTTTTAGTATTTGTTGTTCCTACAATGGAAGTCAATGGTTACCAGTTTTTTAGCTTTCTTCAAAACATCTTCTTTTGATTTCAACTTACTGAAGAAAGGTTTGGATAGACTTGAGTAAATTTACATTTTGGATGAACTATCCCCTTTCAAGTTTTAATCACTCTGTTTTGTTTCTGTATTGTTTTGATCTTTATGAAATGCAGGGGGTTGGATGGCGGAGGTGTGTCGCGGACGAAAGTGAGGAGGGTTTGGAAGTGAAAGTGAACAGAGGGGGAGGGCGGTTGAATGAGGTGCTGCAGGTGCAGATCCGGAATGTTCCAACACAATCCTGCTAATAGAGTCAATTTCAAATTTTGAAGAGGAACAAGCAAGACAAGCATATGCACTGTTCACAATCTTATTTGTTACACTATTTATTTGAAAGGATAGTTCCTCCCCAAAAACAATAAAATAATGTTGTCATTTAGATTAAGGGGACTAAATAATAACAGGATTTTAATTTTAGGGGGGTTAAAAAACTTTTTTTTTAAGACAAAAGAATTACCGGTAACCATTGACTTAGGGTGCTTTCACACCTGTGAATCGATTCAGTTGTTCCGAAACAGAGATTACAATTGTTACATTGTTGCTCTTTGCTCTTGGAGCGGTTCGCTTTCACACTGCAAAGTTTCTAATCGGACCAAAAGAGCTAAAACAAGTCACGTGCGAGTAAACTCTCCTCACATTGGTCAGAGTGTCAGGGTTTATTTTGCAGCGTCCCGCTCAGCTGTCAGGAGAGGTGGTGGTTTAGTGGTGATTGACAGGGTGCGCGCGACGTGTCTGAGGAGAGATGCGGTGGGGAGGGGTGAGAAAGGTGCGCGACGATGCCTATTTGAGGACCGGGAGGGAGATGCGAGATTACCGGGAGATCATCACTCGTTTGCGGGCATCTGGAGATTCGCGAAACTTCCCGCCACACTCATAATTCTCTCTTCATAGCCGTAAGCCTATTACATATCCATAAAACACTGTGATATAACCGCGCTCGGATCAGATCGCTTTCTCACTGCAATCGAACCGCTCCAGGGTTCGTTTCAATCGAGCCGAAACCACCTCATTTAAGCGATCTCGGAGCGATTACTTTGGTGCGGAACAGAGCGCGATTGCCCTGTTCACATATGCCAAACGAACCGCTCTAACTGAGCAAACGAGACACGTTACGAAACAAAAGTGTAGGTGTGAAAGCACCCTTAGTAGTAGTAGTAAAACTTTACTGTCCTTGGCAGGAGATTTGCTATGGGCATCGCCATATTGCTGCAGACATTTACTAAAAAAAAAATACAAAACACAACAATTACAAAATTTATGCTAATTAAAAAAGACTCTTATTAAGTAAACCCACTGAAACAGGTACAAAGGATTTCTTATAGCGGTTAAACCTACACTTTGGAACTCTATATCTTCTACCAGAGGGAAGCAGTTCGTAATGTGGAAACAAAAGTGAGTTAGATCATTTACAATCTTTTCCAGCTGATTGAGGACACAATTCTCATATAAAACTTGAGGATTAAAATATTAATCGTGCCTGACAATTTTCCATGCTGTCTTTAAGAGATGCATCAGTTTAGATTTACACTGAACAGATAGGTTGCCAAACCACACTGTGATGGCTGACAATGCTTTCAAGAACTGCTTTATAAAACAACATCATGAGCTTCCATAGTATTTGTTGTGCCTAATGGATTACCGGTTAAATCTTATTTTGAGTTCAACTTATTGAAGAAAGGTTTGAAAACACTTAAGGGTGAGTAAATAGTGACTAAATTTAGATGTATGGGTGAACTATCCCTTAAAGTTTTGGTCACACTTTATTTTGATGGTCCATTTGTTGAATTAAGTTACATCGTATCCACATGCCAACTAATTATCATTAGATTATACTGTAAGTAGACTGTTAGGTTGGGGTTAATGTAAGTTGACATGTACTTGCAAAGTTTCTTATAGTCAGTTAAATGTCTGTTGAAGGAGCAGTATCAGCTGATGTTTAGCAGACAGTCTACTAATACTCAAATGGACCATCAAAATAAAATGTTACGAAAGTTTTAATTATTCTGTTTTGGGTGAACTCTCCCTTTAATTGTTTCTATTCTGTTATATTACTCTTTTCATTATTATTATATATACACTGTAAAAAAAAAATCTGGGTCCCACACAATTCCATCATGTTGTCTTAAAACCAGTTCAAGAGTTCACACTTAGCTGATGATTTATAAAAGCTTGTTTGGCATGCTGTCCCGGGAGAGAGCCCCGAGCTCAAGGACTCCTCGAGTCCGGGGCTTCCTCCTGTTTGGCAGAGCGAGAGGGGAGCCTGAGCTCGGTGGATCTCAGAACTCCCCTGCTGCGGTAGCTAAGAGAACATGAGGGTTAGATAAATGCTTGGTTGTTATGTATGTTGAATGTCTTTGGATGGTGGGAGGAAACCGGAGAACCCGGGGAAAACCCATGCAGACACGGGGAGAACATACAAACTCCTCACAGAAACACCCACCGGTCCTGAGGGACCAGGGCCGGCAGTGTTCTTGCGGTGGGGCTCACAGTGCTAACCACTGGGCTGCCGTGTCGCCCAGTCAGAGGTAAAAGAGGAGAAAAAGGGGAGGAGGTGGGTTTCTTCCAAACGATAAAGTGAACTGAAAACTGTGGTTATTTATAGTAGCTTAGGGCTCGAATGATTGGAAGATACTGATTAGCAAATTCGAGACCGGCCGTGATTAATCATAAGCACGTGATCCTCTCGAAATTAGTTCACTTAAGTTAACATAATTGTTTTTACAAATTTAAATGGATTGAACATAAAACATTAAGTTGTCACCCAAAAAAATCCAACTCGCTCTCAATCCAACTCTCTCTTTAAGATCTTAAATCTCAGGGCTTCTGGTAGTCTCTAGAATAGCAAAGTCGAGTAAAGGAGGTCGAGCCTTCTCGATTATGGCTCCTAAACTCTGGAATAGCCTTCCTGATAACCTCCGAGGCTCAGACACACTCTCTCAGTTCAAAACTAGATTAAAGACCTTTCTGTTTAGTAAAGCATACACTCAGTGCATCACTTAGCGGGTTTCCACACAGGTTTCTGCATCTTGTTTATATACACTATGAACAGCAGCTACGCTAATTATTCTTTTTATTCTCTATTTCCACCTGGGGATACTCATCCTAAGGCGCTCAGACTATGCATTGCCACTGATTTGATCCAAGACCAGCGACGAGATGATCCCAAGGTGTCCATATCCTGGACCAGGCCGTATCCTGAGCAGCTTCTGGGGTGGTCATGGAGGAGTGGAGAGCATGAGACTGATTCCTGTGACGCTCCAGGGACAGTCGAGTCTTCGCTGAGGCCCAGCTTCCGGCCTCCACCTCTGAGACTACAGCCCTGCACACAGGGCCGGAGCAAGCTGAACTGCCGCTCTAGGCAAAGGACGGTCACGCTCCCTCAACCGCAACCCTCTCTATTCTGCCGCCCTAGACGCAGATATAACGAAGGGCGCGGGTGGTGAGGGTAGTGTCGGGGACGCGGATATAACTGAGGGCGCGGTGGTAAGGGTAGTGTCGCGGACGCCGCCGTCTCTATTCTGCCGCCCTAGACGCGGATA